GCCGATAAATAGACTAGATAGAAAAACAAAGCTAAATGGCAATTATAACATGCCCTTTCTTGACAGTTCACACATACTGTCTAAATATCAGGAAGGATACAAAGAGATGTGAAACATTACCTCAACTTTTCTAACTGATAGATATCACCATTCTTGCCTAGCGTATTAATCACTGTACATTAAGACATTTTCTTATATAACAAGTTTACTAAATAGTTAAGTTTATATATGTAAATATCCTCTAGTGCGCATATATTTCCAGAACAAAAACACCTACACTGAATAAAGCCAGGTTAAATTTCTTAGTTTCATTTTGCTGACATGGGCCTATTTGATTTCTCTTTTTCCCCCCATTGAAAATACTGTCAATAGCCAGGAAAAAAACAAATTAGCAACAAAATGTTATATAAATCAGGTGAATGACATTTAAGCAAACCCCTCTTATTAGATGTGCACAAATAAAAATGATGTTACTATTGTCTGTAATTTCATTTTCCCATGTCATAATTCACATAATTAATACTTTTTTTAGCTTAAATTATTGATGAAACCAGAACAAACCTAAATGTACAAATATTTTCTCTTTCATATAGCAAATGTTTTTACAGAGGAGATTTTGGAAATCTCTTTCATCACTCAAATCAGAAAACACTGTCAACAGACTAAAAAATAATTAACAGTGTTTTTAGGAATAAAATGAAAGATACACAAACCCCTCTGCAAAACATTCTTAATATTTATAAAACTTGCAATGAAGAGTACATTTGTAACTAATTTTGAGAAAACAATATGTATTGTGCATAAAGATAAAGCCTGCTAAAATAATCACTGAAATGTGTATTTTTCGGATGTTTACGTTATACTAGCCAAAAAGAAGAGATGCCATGAAAGCAAAATAGCCCAAAATCTCAAAATTGGCATAAAAAGTATTCCATTGATGATGTTGTTCAACATTCTTAAAGTATTTTTCCTCAGAGTAACTTCATAAACAACAACTTGCAGCTTGTTCCGACCAGTTAGATGAGCAAGTGTTTACCAACGTTAGCAAACACGACCTAAATAAAGCAACAAAGCCGCAACTAATGCACCAACCTCCGTTCACACAACACAAACCAGAATGTCTAATATATATTTATAAACAGTAACGTTAGCAGTTAGCGGTTTAGTTCGTATTAAGATCAACAGGCCTCAATTTGATTGACTGGCCGGCTAAAAATGGCTTCTGGCCCTCAGTCAGTTGATCTCTTACCAGACAGAATAGATTGGAGTGGCAGTCCTCCAGGCTCGCCCCGTTGGGTACAAAACAAGAACTCATCATCAAAGCGCTGCCCGGTGAGCCATCCTCTCTTTCAGATCCCAGGAACAGATAATGCGATGGCTTTTGGACCGGGTCTCCGTCTCTCGGACACAATCAGCAGGACGGGTTCGCGTCCAGCGAGCTAATTAGCTTAGCTCAGCTCTGCTATTACTCCGCTAGAGGTTACTCACTTATCAGAAAAAAATTGCGCTAAAAACTTCCTGCGCACATTTACCATGATCCGCGATGAGACATTGTTCTCCCCCCAGATTTGTTACATCAAATAATACGTAATTACAGAAGTCCGAGGGGGTAGGGGGGTGATTTCAGCCCTCCCCCTTTAGCTTAGCATAGCATCAGGCTAGCTGGGGTTAGCCTGGCTAAGCGAGGCAGCAACAAACAGTTCAAGCCAAAAGAGTTCAGCTTTAAATTTCTCTAAAAATCGCTATTTCCTTTCCAAGTCTTCGCCGGACTGCCGTCAACGGCTATTCGCGGGGAAGCTGACGATGGAAGTAAACCGTTCTGATTAAAAAGTACAGTTAAAAGAGGCACGACTGTGCTGTGCTCAGCTGTGTCTCACTGGTTTGTTTGAATACATTGGTCGCATCCTTTAATGGCGGCCACAGGGACACAACTCTACTACACTCTCCAGTCTACTCTACTCGGCTCCGATTGGTAGCGCTGCGACTCAATAGAGGAAAGAGTCGATCCTGGATTCCTGAAAGCTCCGAACGAGTCGACTCACCAATAGAGCTGTCAACTCTTTTTAGGGCTTTTTAAAACTTTCAGATGCAAGGGACACCCAAAATATGACCATACTCATGCTAGGGACCACCATTCAAAAAAACAAAACATAATTATAGTTTCTGGTGTAAAAAAACAATATATACTGTAAAATATTATTATAAATGTGATTATTTTAGAAAATTATTTTATTTTTAATTTCCATTAAGCCAACTATTATTATGTTGTTGTTTTGTTTTTTTGTTTTTTTTACAGTACAGTACTGTACTGGTACATGTTATTTATTTATTTTTATTTTGATAATGTTCTATGTAATTTAATCTGATTTTTTATTTGTTCATTTGTATATTTTACTACATTTCTTTAACATTTCTACAGACCCCAAATCCCTTCCATGTGCCCCCCTTGGGGTCCCTGGATACCAGTTTTAAAACCCACGGCTTAAATAATCTTTGCACTGCAGTGAAGTTGCAGTATTTCTACAATAAAAACAAATACATTAACAGTCAAAATATTTCTGGCCCCCTTCCACGCAAAGCTAATATTATTTTATTTATCATCATCATGATATTAGCCTACCATATATATAAATCTACAATAAGATCATATTTGAATTATACATAATATCATGATCTTGATCTATATGTTCTGCTTTGTCCATTGATTAAGGGCTAACAGTTTTTAAAATGTGCAAAATGTCATATCCGTATGCACAAATTAAACCAATAGGAAAACCAAATTCAATTTTGTCAAAAGTAATATTTTAATTATTTCTGAAATTCCAGAAATAATTCGTTAAATAGCATTTGACAGAATAAAAGCCTTCAGATCACAAGATCAATATGTTCTCGTTTTATGTTCTATTTCATTGTGTTTACAACATTTTCCAAACACATAAATGAGACTATGAATCAGCCCTATTTCTGGTTTCACTTGTTATACCAGTTTGTCATTACCTCCTCAACATATGTGATTGGTGAGCAATGTTCATTTTGAGCTTGGAAACTAATTATGAGAGAAGCTGGGCAGGGACATACAATGACACTGACATAAAAATAATAACAACTATGACTCAAAATATGGATGAATGGAAATACAAGGAGATCATGCCTGAATTATGGCATCTCTGGAGGAAAATGGATTTGTTGAATATGGCTCGCTATCAACGTCAGGCATCACTATCACTTTATCTCATGTGTGCTGGCAAGAAATGAACCAGCAATCTCATTAAATGAAAAGTTTGATGAATAAATGTTTTATGAATGCATGTAATATTTATTATTACATTATACGTGTCAATTAGACATGTGCTACCTGGAAAAGTGCCCAGTGTTAAAGCAGAGCCAGTAAAATTGTTTCAGACATTTGTCATTGTTGTTATTTAATGACTGCTTGAAATGCTGGCAAACCTAAAATAAAATCAGATGATTTTTGAGTTCACACTTATTCAAAAGAATAAAAACTGTTTTAATACTTTTCAAATGTATAGTTTTGACTGTGAAAGAATGACAAGATTTTATTAATATTAAAATTATAATTAAGTATTTTATTAAATTACTTAACCTTGAGATTTACACAACTTTAAGTGCTTAGCCTACTTTTTACTTAAATGTGAAACATCATTAAATATCATTAAAGTGTTTTAGTCTTTTGTAGAGTGCATTATCACACCCATTGTGTGTTCATTAAGTTGACCCATTCCCGAGTTTACCCCTGCTGTGTATTTGATATGCATGCAAAGGGAGCTCTTTTGTGTTTAATTAGGTTCAGCCATGACAACCTTCTTTCATCATATCAGAGTCTTTTCTTTGTTTATTTGTTTGTTTGTTTGAGAAGTGCGCCATCTAGTGTACTAATCCGATGAGATGCAAAAACTTCATTTTTATATGAGAGAGAGAGAGAGAGCTCATCTGACCAATTCATATCCTTGCTGTAAAAAAATCCAAACCATCAAAATTGAAAGGTGAATTTATGAAAAATGTACATTTTAAATTTTAGCCTGAGATAAATTAACTGTTTAGGTAAAATCAAAGTGGTGACAGTGTGACCACCAGCAGTGATAAGTTTAGGTTTTATCACATAATTTTAAATTACTGAGACGAAAATCGAGTGGAAATTATTCGCACGCGTTCTTGCTGATAGTTGGCCTATTTTTCCCCATAGAAGAGTTATAGGCTACTCCAGAGGTCGACATACCAGATATAGGCTAGGCTACTCGTCAGAAGCCCATGTGGGAGAACTGTTACCAGTTCACTGAGTTATGACCAACTCATGAATTGGTCTTTATGAATTATAACAAATTATGGAACGCTGCTCGTGGGTATAATGGTTTATAAATGGATTAACAATCGACGTTAATCGCTTGTTGTTTTTGGCCAAGCATTCCTATTTTTCTTTCATTTGTCCTCATGAATTGTTATGATCAGTAGTTTATTTTGTTTACATTTTTATTTTAGCTGAAAGCTTAATGTGCTGTTTTTTAATGGCAGGTTCCCATTGATGGCTTTGTAGTTAGCCTAGCTATATGCCTACAATAGATTTTTGAAAATAAACCTAATTGGAGTAAAATGTGTTGGTCATCGCCATGATCGCCTGATAGCCATATTGTTTAAAAAAGAGGCTGCTGGTGTAAAAATAATTTAAGCAAAGTATGATTAATGAAAAAATGACTGATCACTGTACTCTTCACTGATAGAGTGTTGTAAATATATTTAATGTGTCTATAGCCGTTGCGCATGCGTCTTTGCCTCGGCTTGGATTTGCGCTCAGCACCAAGGACAGCGGTGGCGGACACGCGCAGGATACGATGATGATGATGTGAGAGGGTTGATGTGACGTCAAAGCAAGCGAATCACAGGAACACACAAGCCCACAGACTAACGTATGTTGTTGTCAGTGGATGTTATGACTCATAGTTAAAAAAAAGAGAGAAGAAGAGCAAAAAACAAAGGCTGAAATGTCTGATCCTCCATCATTTATTATATGTGATTTAATATATGTACACTGTAAAATAAACGTTCTTCCTATAACCAAAATATCAGTTTAAAAGTCTTTCATATGTAGCAACATGCAGAGTACCCTAAAATTAACTGAAATGTATCTCTTTTCCATGGTGTTCACACAACAACATATACAGACTCATCAAACAATTGCTAAAAAGACAAGTTGGATGAAAAAATTATATATTTGGAAAACAAACTGAAACTGGTAAATGTAGACTCCATAAACATTATTTGAATAGTTCTATCCATCAGTTTTTTTTAGGTAAACAAACCCAAAACGAATTATTTTGCCCACATTTTCTTTAAAGTGTGTTTGGGTTGGTTGTTTTTTATATTTTCAGTATTGATTATAGCGCAATGAAATTACTGGTGCAATAAATAAATCGTGCAATACATAAATAGTCCCTCTTGATTTCTTTCACAGGTAAATTTGAATAATCTTAAACAAAATACCAAAATATAGTTATCTTTCATGACAAGATAACAGACGATTGGATCACTAAATTATCCACTTAAATATGATAAAAAATAATTGAAAGATTAAAGATAACTGCAAATGCATAGTACCTTAAAATCAGTCATCGGTCATGTGCAACTACAATGAAAATACAATTTCATCCCTATCAATTACAATCACAAAAGTCAAAATGATAAATGGTATGATTAAGAAAACATAGTAAATCCCAAAACCAAGCAGTGTTTTCATCAGTAGTTACGATTTTTTTTTTTACAATAAACACTCTTGTGACCCCTGCAATTTACAATTCTAAAAGCTATTTTTAGAGATGTTGCACTATATATTCAAATATATCAATTCAAGAAAAAAAATATACAGTGGACCCAAAAAGTATGGACATTTTCAGATACACAAAATGTATACATTTCATTGTATTAGAAATGAAAAAATGCTAGACTTTTACCATGAACACTTTTCTTGACATTTATGCAATAACTTTCTGAAGTTCTATGCGAACATGTTCGATTTGTCATACGATTCGTTGTAATTTTGAACAGTTTGTCTAATATGGATCATTTAAACCTTCGTTTGTGAAATGTCTGCTTGAAACGTGCGCTGTCATAATCTTTTTTTAAATAATAAATTCCACTTGATTTGATATTTTGTTATATAAAGCAAAGACATTTTTAAGTGTAGCTAAAGTGCCACAATATTATGGTGCCACTGCATTTCACACAAGCCTTTGTAATGCTAGTTGTGCAAAAACAGTTGTAGGGACTGACTCCAACTGTAGTGTCATTTGGGCAAGATGCCTCTACTTAGCTCCTTATGTCATGACAATGGCACATGCAAACATTTTAGAAACAAATGCTGTGCTGTCGGCATTGTTCCAGTGCTGTGTGAGGGGCGACTTGAGCATCTATTTCAGATGGATTACAGCATGTCATCCTGGTTTTCCCTAGCCGTAGTCCTTCTGCGCCGGAACCGCATGCTGGAGAAGAGGGACGAGGCAGTGAGGGCGACGCGACTCAGGCCCACATTTAGACAGTGTACTTCTGACGTCACTGGCACCTCAGCGAAGAGAGCCCTGTCACGGGACACCCGCATGACGCTGTCGCTGTTCTCAATGTCTTTCACTATATTCAAGATCTCCTGCCTCTCTGTTTGTCGGGTCATCCCACGGATATTGAGTATGGCAGAGACATGCTTCCTCCTGCAAAATACAGGAAATATGTATTCACTCTTGAATGATGTACTGTATTTGATGTATGGTCATATTAGCAATGAACACACAGAGCCATAATAACAATGAAGCATTTAGAATGGCTAAACTACTTAAATAAACAGCTACAGGGTTTTTATGGTGAGTGATCAGCACTGAAACTGTTCTGGAAAAGACTTTAATTCTGAGTGAATTTCTCATTACATTCTTTGTCTTTTAAAGAACAAGCCAAAATGATTTAATTTTTTTCTACAGAAAAGAAAAAGAAAAAAATCCCAAAAAACACTAGAGTTTAAAGGTTAGGGGTTAGTTTTTGTTTTTGTGGAAGTAATTCATACTTTTATTCAACTGAAATTGATCATTAAAAGGGACATAAGACAGTAAACATTTGACTAAAATGGCATTATTTTGACCTTCATTCATCAAAGAATCCTAAAAAATGTATCATGGTTTACACAAAAACTGTTTTCAATATTCATAATAATTATAAATATTTCTTGAGCCTCAAATCAGCAAATTAGAATGATTTCTGAAGGACTGTGTGAAACTGAAGACTGAAGCAATTATATAAATTATATAAGTAATATATATATATATATATATATGATTTTTTTTAGAAAAAAAAAGAGAAATGGAATATAAATATAATAAAATGGGAATTATTATGATATGCTATAATGTCCGTAGCATTGCCAGGGTGCGAAAAATCCTCATTTAACTTTTCCCAGAGTTGGCTCCTGTTCATTTAAAGTTTCCTAGATCATAAAATGTGCGAGGATACGGCTGGTATATGGAGGAGATTCCAAGTGTTCATCAGTTTAAAACCCAAAGGTGTTGCTAATCCTAAACAATAGAGCCAGCAGCACATCTAGGTCATCTATCTGAAGTTTCAAGCTTTATTTAGCACACATTCCACAGAAGAGAGCTTCCTCTGGATTCGGCAGAACTCTTGATTAGGCAACTGCCCTCTCTAGGTTAAACCATGGAGCTTTGGGTCAGACCCTGGCAGGATGCCTGTGTTTTTGCTTTGTCTTTGTGAGGACCCAGAGCTGGACAACTATACACCTTTCATGCGAATCTAGGATAACCAAACAGTCTCCCATAAAAATCAGGAAACCGCAAAAGTCTTGTTTGCTTTTACAAGGCCCTCTTTCGCTATCAAACAGAATGACCATATTTGTCAGATGACCTGAGCTTTCTGCTTTTTGACCTCGATCATATCAGGGGCTACAAGGTGTCCCGGCGTAGCGACACACTGCCCCTTAAAACACTCACCGTATGTCAGGGAATTCCCGTACCAGCATGCCAACTTCCATTTGGATGGAGGGAGTGTCCTCCAAGAGGATGATCTCCGATAAGTGAGGAATAGCACTGTCGAGCCATGAGGCGGACGATTCCTGGATGGGGGCAAACAAGCGAGATAACATCAGATCTGTATAAACCCTTCATATGTCGAGACCCATCAGCCACTGGAACGTGTAGATGAACGCTCAGATTTAAAAAAAACGGCCTGGTACTCACACTAAGACTCCCATAAATGTGCTGCATTTTCCAAAAAATACAATGTACAATGACTTCTGACAGACAGCCAAAGATCACAGGGCCTCCAATGTACAATCAGAGAAGGCTATTTTTAACCCTTGTGTCTGGAAAAACAAAAACCTAGAGGATTAAGTGTGGGAGCACATGTTGTTCCGATTGCGAGTAAATATCTGTATGCCCGTTACACCAAGGCAGTTCTTCCTGACTCTCAGTTTGACCTTAAAGGCAAGTTATGACTTCAAAGGCCCAGGCTTGGATATTCTTCCATAAACAAGGGCATCCTGTTGTCCACCGAGGTGACAAACGGATGTTTTAACTGGAGCAAGGGGCGGACGCTGCACAGGGGAAAGGAGCGCTTGGGTGGGTCATAGAGATGCCCTGTTTGGCCATCTGCCTCCAGAAATGCCCATTCTTCAAAACATCTCTTTTGTTTAAAAGTTGTTGGCTGTAGATGATTTGGGGGTGATTAAAATATATTTAGCAACTAGCTAAAAACAGGACATGACATTTTGCCAAGTGTAATTAATCTGGGGAATGAGGATTTCATGAATTTTTTGTTTTAAATAATATCAAATAAAATGATCTCCAAATTTCCAGTATAAAGGTTTACATTTTCCATGTTACAGTGACATATGAGGTGCTGGGATGAATGGAAAACAGAGAACCATAATTACGTAACTGCTTAAAAAAATCTTCATACTGGCACCTTTGATTCTATCAATTTAAAATTAACTAAACCAACTTTACTTAATTGCTACTATTAAATTGCTATCATCACATACAAACACACACCCATATTTATCTGTATATATTAGTTAAAACCTTTGTTTATATCAGTGGCGTAGGTTTGATTTTGAAATTGGTGGGGACGGAGACAACAATATGTAAGGAATAATTGACGACAGGCCGTTGAATTATTAGAAACATAATGCACACCTGGTGTGCATTATTTTTACCCTTTTACCCTGCATTACCCTTTTAACAAGTAGGCCTATCAATAATTATTTATTTGTTATATTATCTGGAATAATTAGGAAAATCCATGCAGCAGGACTATTAATTTATTTATATAGCCTTTTCAGTTTAATTTTCTATTTAGCCTATTATAGATAGGACTACATACTTTATTTATCAAAATTAAACTATATGTGTCCATTGATTGTGAAGTCAGACATCGAAAATTGCAGATCAAGTGCATGGGGCTGCATGTTTTATCTTGTTATGAATTGTATCCTATTTTCCATTATTATAGTTAACTAAGCGCAGTGATATAGAGCTGTAATGCAGTCAAACCTGCCTGAAACTACAAAATAATTGCACACCTTAGAACGTTCTCAACCAATCAGAATCAAGCATTCAACAGCCCTGTAGTATAAATGAAGAGTTCAGATGCAAAAGCCTCTAAGTGCCATTTGAAATTTTCTTCTAAAATGATCATTTTTATCAAGCTTGTATATTTAAGTTCAGTAATTTCACTTAAATGACAATGAAGATTACCTATGAATTGCCATGGAAGTGAAATTACTGAACTTAAATATACAAGCTTGATAAAAATGATCATTGTAGAAGAAAATTTCAAATGGCACTTAGATGCTTTTGCATCTGAACTCTTCAAATATATTTTAAGTTTTGATCGAAATTATTGCCAGGGATATATCAGTGTCAATTCAGATTGGTAGGGACACATCCCTACTAAATTCTACGCCCCTGATATATATACTGTAGCCTATATATCCAGAGAAGTGACTCACCAGTTCTTTGAAGAGAGCTTTTAGGTGCTTTCCTTCATCACGAAGGCGGCCAGCCATTCTCTTCCTCATTTTAAGTGATGTGCAGATGATTCTGCCCCTCATGATGGCCCGCACGTATTCAGTCATCACGCGCCGGTGAACCTCCCCCACCAGGACCTAAGAGGACAAAGTAAATAAGAGATAAATACACTCAGTTGGGTTTTATCTCAAAATTAACCCAAAAAAGGACATACATGACACAAATTGGGTCTTGTTTCAAGCTAAAGGGGTTTACTTTGGGATAATAACATAATTTATAATGATCTGGCAGGTTTGAGGGAAAGAATTGACATTATTGAAATCATTGTTTACCTCGTAAGGTGGATTGTCCATCCTGCGAAACTTCTTGAAGTGTTCTTTTATAAGTGCCCCAATTTGCTCAAAAGGCTCAGTGTTGCTCAACCATTTCCGTTTAATCAGTTTATCAAAGAAGGGCTATGTGAAATGAGACAGAAAGCACTGGATTACAAATGACACACTGGAATGTACTATATTTGTCTTCATCAGGATGTGAGGGCTTTCATATTTAGAGTCAAGATAGTACAGCCAGCTTCCTGTTAAAGCACCATCATGGTAAAAAGGATGCAGCAAAATTATGTGGCCCACGAGAGCTGGTAATGCCAGTCTGTACAGCAAACACTGAATACCGTTCGGCGTCAGGCCAAAAACATCTAATTCTCTAGGGTTTTTCACATAGTGCTGCTATTTTAGTGTCTCAGAGATAGAGTGGCTGTGCAAAACAACATCCTTGAGAACAACCCATAGGGGAAATGCTGATAAGATATTCTTAATATTCTTGGAAAGAGGTACACGATGAACATAAGGTATTTGAAGAATATGTGCGTGCGTGCGCCACAAACATGTCTATGTGAGGAAGTGTGGGGTGATCTGTGGCAGCCTCACCCTGATATGCTCAAAAAGTCTGTCGTTCAGCACTCTCACAGTCAAGTTGACTATCCTGTCCAGTGCGGTGTTAGCTCTACGAATCGAGTCCTCGCTGGTTGAGGGGTCACACTGGCTGCAACGCTCCACAAAGCTCCTAAACACACCAATTTATATTACAAACATGCAGTGCTATTCTGTAATAAGATTACAAAAATCAAGCATTTGTATTTTGAATATATTATATTTAAAAACAATTATAATCAGGCTACAGTTACACAGTAAAAATGAATATGCTTTATCTAATCAATAAAATTGTGGCAACAGATTACAAGCAATATTATTTATTAAATCGAACAAATTAGAATTGAGTAATAGTTAATCAAATTAATATTGTAATGAATTCTAATTTGTACAATTTAATTAATAATATTGCTTGTAATATGTTGCCACACTTTTATTGATTGGATAAAGCATGTTCTTTTTTTCAGTGTACTTTTTATTGATTCCATGTTAATCTCACAATGGCAGTAAATAATTAATAATTCATTGATTTTCCCTACACTTTTTAAAAATAATTTTCATTTCTAAAAAAGCCTAGTGCTTAGATACAGTGCGTTCAGAAGCTCCAGGTTTGTGTCTATCACTGAAAACTGAGACCTATAGTATTTGATCACTGAATTTACAGAAATTTCACTTTTAAAAAGTGTTTTCTCAGCATTGCAACATTTCATATCTAATCATCTCCTGATGAACACATTATTCACGCAGTAAGACATTTAACCATGTATTACTGTCTGTCTTTGCAAGGTTTTTGTCTTTCAAACACATTCAAATGTACAAATCACGTTATTTACATGCAATGCAGGGATTCCCCAACTTTTTTTGTCAGCTGAACCTCTTTGACGTAATATATTTAATTGAAGAACCCCCTGAGATTTTAAGTTACTAAGTAAGTTAGGTCAATAATATAACAATAGAAATAACAATTAAAAATTACTTTCAGTTCATGGTTCTCTGATGTCGATTAAGAGTCAAATAACATGCAGGTACACTAAAAATATTTTTAGTAAGTATTATTTTGATAGTTTTTATTTAAAATTTGTATAATTTCATTCAGTTCCATGATGAACCTCAGAATGGGAAACCCCGATGTAATGTAATATTTAATGCATTTCATGTGGTTGATAAAGAATGGAATATATATTTCTTTCTCTTTGTAGTTTTATATGATACAATATTATCCTATTCAAATCAATGTGATAAACAAGTTATGTAAAAAGTAATCTAAAAGCAGATTACATTACTTTCATGTGTAATGTAATGGATTATGATGGACAATTGTTTGTCATGTTCTTTGGAATCAGTAACCCACTACAATTTGTAAGCAATCTACCCAGCACTTTAAACACATTAAAACAACAACAACAACAACAAAAAAAGTATAAATGAAAGATTTTGAGGGAGCCAACCTAAACGGTGGACTGCAGTTGACAAGAGCGATGGTTTTAGCGATATAACCGTCTTCATTTTCTCCAAAGCTGTTCACTAGCATCTCATGGAACATCTCCACCTTTCTCTGAAAACTATGCATAAAAAAACAAAGTACTTAAGGATGGTATGTGGTTATTATTACAAATTTTCTATGGAAATGAACTAAATAAAAAAGAAGAACATTTTTAAGGTATATAAAGTTTATATATTTTTGAAAGAAACTCTTCTGCTCAACAAGGCTGCATTTATTTGATCAAAAATACAGTAAAACTGTAATATTGGGAAATATTATTACAATTTAAAATATTTTTTTTATTTGAATATATTTTAAACTGTAATTTATTCCTGAATTTTCAGCATCATTACTCAAGTCTTCAATGTCACATGATCCTTCAGAAATCATTCTAATGCTGATTTGCTGCTCAAGAAACATTCATTGTTATCAATGTTGAAAACAGTTGTGCTTCTTATATGATTGTGGAAATTGTGATAATTTTTTTCTCAAGATTCTTTAACAAGTTAAAAAGAACAGCATTTATTTGTAGAAATCTGTAAAATTATACACGTCTTTCCTGTCAATTTTTGATCAATTTAATCTTTCCTTTCTGAGTAATAATTAAAGAAAAAAAAATCTAAGTCACTCCTCTTGTGTCACTTTTCATGTATTATTTTCCCACCTGTACAGGAAATCTGCCAGTCCGTTGAGACTGCATTGAGCAACCCGTGAGCCCAAATGTCTGTTTACGGCTGCAGATCTCTCAAGGTCCTCCTGTAGCCTCTATAAGTCAAAATGTAAGAAAATATGTTATTAAGTGAATTTTGTATATTAAAAACCGTTACAAAATAATTTGAATTCCTCAATTTAGTCTTGAAATATTTTGCTCAATGCTCTTACTACTTCAGCAACCAAATAAAGTGACTGACTATTTCCCTTAATACCCTTTATGTCCACTAGGGTGCAATACAGAGCCTACAAAAACAATATACTGTAATGGAAACATGCTCACAATGTGAAGTGTTTATTTATGTCGATTCAAGCTGAGAGACTATTTTCTTGTTACACAGAGATGCATGATTGCCATTCAACATGTCTTAAGTTTTGTTCTAACAACAGACCAAGTGTTAAAACCTGCTGCACATATTGCTAACGAAACAGTGGGCCATTATTATACACAAAATCAACACTAAGAAAATGAGTTAAGGCAACATGTGATATCACATGCTCTTAACTTCATATGTCAAGCACAATATCTTATTATATACATAAATGAGCACAAATGGTCCATGTGGCCCTGTGCTGACCTGAATAACAGTGCGAGCCAGAGGTATCTGATACTCTTCGATGTTCAGGGTGTCCAGCCATTTCTTTTCCTCCTCCTCCAGAACCTGAGACAGCTCATTGGTCACTTTCCCCTGGAAAACACAACATTTCAACACACTCATTACCAGTGTCCTTGCTGTGAGAGGTCATATAGGGCACTAGGTGCATATTGCATCCCTAAGGAAACAATCACACTATTAAGCCATTCAATGTGTTAAGTATTTGACAAATGTCACTCTTTTCTGGACGGGCTAAAGGATTATTAAAAGACCAAACATTCATGTTGCTTAATGAGTGAAGGGGAAAATGTGTTGTCTAACTGACTTCTATTGTGTAGTGCTCAATGTAGACAGGAAAGCCGTGCGTTGACCCTGAAATGCCGCACTCTAATTGACCGTGCAGGTTGAAACGACCAGCCATCTCTTGGAGTGGACAGGATGTGCCGTTGTTTGAGGTACGCAGAAAAGGCTAGAAGATACTTGGGGATGAGGTTTGAGAATTTCAGTTCTTACCCTGACTGAGTTGAGGCAGTCGAGCTCCAATTTTTCCACCGTCTCTGTCGGCAGCAGTGGGCCGAGCTGCGAGAGGTTAATGGGTGTTGTTATGGTGACTGTTCCAAGGACATCTCTGCAGCAACAACAGGAAGAGCAAATCACAAACTGAGTCTGGACTTCACTCATAAGGAAACATTGAATTATGAAGGAACAGGAATGGGAAGGTACAAGAGTGGGTTTCACCTCTCATATCAACCAGAAGCTATTTATAACTGTTTTAGGGTTGTTGTAGTTTTATGTGACTTGACAACTGAGAAATGATACATTATCGTTCAATAAAAATGTTGGGGTCAGTAAGATATAATACAAACAAAGTACGATAACTATACAATACAAAATATTTTCACTTTCAGAAGAATTATTTCCAGTTAAAAACATTAACAGCCAATCAGAATCCATCCTGCATTAAAGAGCTTGAGCTGTGCGTTCAGAATAAACAATATCGTGTCTGTGTATAGTTATCGCTATAGTTATCTTTTTTGGTTTTTATGCTCACCAAGGCTACATTCATTTAGTAAAAAACAGTAACAATGTAAAACAACTGCGTTCTATTTTAATATATTTTAAAATGTTCATATTTCTGTGATGGTAAAGCTAAATTTTCAGCAGCAATTCCTCAAGTCTTCAGTGTCACATGATCATTCACAAATTCCAACATTGTGATTTGCTGCTAAAGAAACATTTCTTAATATCAATGTTAATATGTAGATATATGTTATAACCTTTTACAGTCTATGGTTGTAACATTATAAATGTAACCTTTTGTCACTTTTCATTAATTTAATAAATACTTGCTGAATATAAGTATTAATATTAAGTATTAATAAGTATTAGTTTTCTTTCACAAAAAAAAAAAATAAAAATTAAAAATCTTACAGACCCCAAACTTTTTAATGGTAGTGTTGTTCCTCTAAAATAATTTTTATCTGTCAAAATCTATTCATCCTAAAGCCATTTCAATAGCTCTCAATAGTAGAATTTTCGATGAAACACAAAAATGATATTTTGCATAATATATGTTTCCTATACAATAAAAGTTACTGAGGATTGGGCCTGTCAAGCTCCAAAACATGTCAAAAACACCACAAAAATGATACATATAACTAAATATGCTTAATTCTCTTATGATAGGTATGTATGAGGAAAAGCTTGAAGTTTGAGTTGTCAAAAAAAAGATCTTCAATCATGAAATATCCTTTTTTACGCATGCATATTCAAACTTGTTGCATTTTGTCCAGTTACAAGACACATAAGAACTGATGCCGTCAAACCTGACATCACATTTGAATATGGCTTCAGAAGGACCACTTTTATAGTACTTTTTTAGAGCTTGACAACCCATGGTCACAGTTTGGTTTCATTTTAATGAGAATTGACGTTTTGAATATTCAATAAAATCCCTTTGAGGACATTAACCTAGTCAAACTACTTTTTACCTATTGTAAATGTTGTAGAGCCAGTCTAGCATAGAGTATATGTCAATGATCTGCAGATCTCCATTGGTGATCGCCTGTAGACGACGGGTAACAGCCTGGTGGTAGCTGTGTGTGTACACTTGGAAAGAGTCATATTCCACCGGATATACAGACGTCACATTACGGCGAGCCGCCCCAAGGTCCTCCACCATGCGGACTCTAAGCTTATCTAGATAAGCGGCTAGCTCGCCTGCCTGTGCTTCTTCATGCTGGGGTAAGTTTGCATCAGCTAACTGAACCACCGCCTCCCTCCAGCGTTTCTTGAACTCCCTCGGCCGTGGGCCTCCTGGAGCGGCTCGTTCGCTCTGAGCCCAGTCCCGATCGGCTTGCTCCTCCTGCTGAAGCACCTGGACCACCAGGCCCAGGTTGGGTCCGGCGGTGGGGCAACGCAGAGAGTCCCTTACCACGTCCCACAACTCTTTCTGCAGGGCCTCGTACAGCAGCTCAACATCTTTGGCTTTGCGCCGACTGCTGTCTTTGCTGCTGGGGCTGGTGAAATCCTCAGTGCCCCCTGCCGTAGGAGATTCGGCCTCCCTACACTCCTGCTCCAGCTCCAGAATGTGAGTGTCAGCCAAAAACAAATCTCTTTTTGTCACCAACTGCAGGATCTCCAATACTGACAAAACACAAAATAAAGTAACCCATTAGTCACACAGCACAGCAGAGACCGAATACTACATTTTTATTGTTTAGTCACCCTCATGTTGTTACTGGGAAACCTGAATGAATAATAATTTATTTTTAAAAACTGAATGAATAAAATATAACTCCATGGACATTTGTATTATGAAAATATGTTGTTCTAAATAAATATTCTATGGCGTAGAAGTTGTCCTTATCCACTAAACCACAAAAAAGTGGAAAAGTCATGGAGATTTGGAATGAACAATGAAGGCTGAGGACCACTGCTCTAAAACACCCAGAAGATCGCTTGGCCATCCAATCCAATTCTTCAGAATTCCCCCATTAGTAAATTTCATACCATTAAACCTAAAACATAAATGCAGTATATCTTCCAGATGGTCAAAAGGACTGCCAATGCACTTTGCTGGCTATAGTTTTTAATGATCTCACTTGTGTTTCTTATTTGCAGAAGCACTTTTTTACATTCCAAAACATTTCTTTGATGAAGCAGGCGGGCTCCCATTGAGGTCAGTGCTCACACCCATCCTTCATCATTTCCATTCCTTTCCTTTGGGATGAACACATTTACATGGTCTAACAAATTGGTCTGATTACTGGAGACAGGTTTTGGGAGGCTTCAAGAACACCATTTCATTGACCACTCCATAGGAAAGTCTGGAGGTCAACAAGTTTACATACTTAAAGGACTAGCAAAGCAGCATACTGTGTTACGGTGGGATGCAAGTGACCAGAATGTAATGTTCCCAAGTTCTTAGCGTAACCAGACTAGGGCTGTCAAACGATTAATTGCGATTAATCGCATCCAAAATAAAAGTTTGTGTTCATAATACTGTATATGTGGGTGCACTGTGTATAATTATTTTGTATATATATAAATACACACGTAAATACACACATGCATGTATATTTAAGAAAAAAATATTAATGGTATATAAAATATTTAAATTTATATATAATATAAATTATATATAAATCTATATACAGTATATATATACACATGAAAATATTTCTTAAATATATACAAGCATGTGTGTGTATTTATATATATATAAAATAATTATACAAAGTGCACCCACATATATTATGCAATTAATCGATCAATTGTGATGCGATTAATCGTTTGACAGCCCTAGTATATACTATATATTAAAAATAATAATAATTTTACTAAACTATTTATTTAAAAAGTATTTTTAATTATATTTTTTCCAACAAGTAATATTTGTTTGTAATGTCACAATAAGTTAGATTAAACCATAAAATATGAGGAAAATATTTTACATTAAATATGGGAAGAACAAAACAAAAATTGGTTGAGGTATTTATCTGACATAAAAAAGGCAAACTGCAGCAACAGGTTTTATTTTACTATGCAAAATAATGCATAGAAAAATCTTATAGGAAAAAGTTTACATATATTACAACATAATTAGTTAATATTTCATTGGTTCTCTCTGGTTTTTTCATGTGTTCATAATTTCTTATATGACAAAATTATTTATTCACAATTCGGCATGTTTCATTGCATTATCAGAAATAAAACACTTGACTCCAAACACAACTATGCAATACGTTCATAAAATCTTTAACAAGTTTTTCATAATATTTGAATAAAAGGTGAAGATGTCAATTTTCCCACTTTCCTCTATTAAAGGGTTAGTTAACTCAAAAATGTAATCAGTTACTCGCCCTCATGTCGTTCCAAACTCACAAAACTTTCGTTCATCTTTGGAACACAAATAAAGATTTTTTTATAATAAAATTTCTGTATTCTCCATACTACCACTTTGATGCTTCAAAAAAAGATCCATAAAGGAGATCGTAAAACTAAACCAAATCTATATGAAATGAACAGTTGAGTACAACTCTGAACAGGCATGATCGCATTATACTGTACGATGATGAACAGATTGAATTTAGTCTTTTATTACTGTAATAAACATTTATCATCTCACATCAGTTAACAGAAAAACAGACGCTCAAGCATATTTGCTTGATGTGAAAGAACCAATGAAGTTCATTCTCGTGTTATGCAAAAACCAATGAGCCTTGTTCTTGGGGGTCAAGCATGTTCGGTTGAGCTTTTGTTTATGTTCGCTGATCAATGTTTAAATGTGAATGAAAGAGTAAAATAAATCTGTTCATCATAAAACTAAACCGCTCAATCCAGATGGATTCCTTTTACGGTGAACTTTTTTTATGCATCAAAATGTTAGCTGCATAGCTGTCAATGGAGGGACAGAAAGCTCTCAGATTTCATCAAAAGATCTTCATTTGTGTTCTGAAGATGACATTGGGGTGAGTAAATGATGACAGAATTTTCCTTTTTAGGTGAATCAACTCAAGCTTGCTTACTGACAATTCTCAACACGCATCTATTGAGATGTAGATATGTGACAAATCAGCTGTGCAAATAATTGGCCCTGCTGTTGAATTCCTCCTCAGAACATTGAACAGACTGTAAAGGGGCCCTTAGCAGTGCTGAGTTGCCCATATATTTCCTGTGACATCCTGACCTCTTCTTAGAGGGAAGGATGCGGGGGCGTTCGGTTGGCGCCTGACTCATCTGTCCCTATCCCTATCGTGGATGGACTGTCCAGTATTGCCATGACAGACCCCCCACCCTTCTCAACCGTCTCGGATAATAACATCCCAAGTGTGCCAGTCCATTGGAAGGAGTTCTAAATATAAAATACAATACAATACCAAAAGGCTTATCGCCAACGCAGACGGGATAAGGTGGAAAAATGAATGTGCTGTCTGTTAAAAATTAACTTCCTCTGCAACTCATCCACGTGAAAAGTCCTCCACCCAAGGAGGACATTGTATATCATCTAAGTGACTTTGAGATAGGACTTCTGACTTTCAACCCTAGGGGAAGTAAAAGTTGACCCTGTAAGGATCTGTCTGAGAAGGGTTGTAAAACATTTTGAATTTAGAAACTAGCTCTATTTCAAAGCATGAATGTGATTTAAAAAAATAAAAATAAATCGGTCACACTACAGTACGTTGAATGGGAATTGAAATAACAGGAATTGAAATTTACTGAACTGCACTTCAAAGAAATTCAACAGGTTATGGCATTCCAGGTAATGAAGTGTTCTTCCACATTTGCACATAAATCTGTTTGTAAGGCCCATAAAACCTTCAAACTTCAAGACTTTTGCAAGCATTTTAACTTTAAAACAAGGTTGTGTTTACAGTATTCGTTATATAATAAAGAACTTGCTTACAAATACTTGCATATTTTAAAGGGATAGTTCACTTTGAAATTAATTTTTGATACGTTTTAGCTTACCTCAAGGGCATCCAAGATGTAGGTGTCTTTGTTTCCACAGTATTTTCAATTTTGACATTTTTCAGTCAAACCGTTGTTGTCTATCAGTCATACACTGGAGGCTAAGGGGGTCCACCAAAAAGCATGCACAGAGAAGTCAAAATTAAACATGATTTAATGACTCGTTAATGTAAGTACACATTGATGGCCTAAGACAAGAAACGAGCGGTTTGTGTGAGAAACCGAACAGTATTTATATCGTTTTTACCTCTTGTAATTATAGCCATGACAAAATGATCTGACGGCACGAGCGCTTCGGTCTGCGCATGCACCAGAAGTGATCGCTTGCGCGCCTACGTCACTCTTTGTTTATACAGAGATTTCGGAAGTTTTACCTTTCACTATTTAGATATACGGGAAAATCTAAATTCCATATCTAAATATGTTTAGTAAAAGGCAAAACTTCCGAAATCTCCGTGTAAATATTGAGTGACGTCACACGCAAGCGATCACTTCCGGCGTAACATTGAACTGATTCAGTTCGGTTCAGTTGGACATTGCACAACTGATTCAGATCACTTGGATTACACAAGGTAAAAACGATATAAATGCTGTTAGTTTTCTCACAAAAACCGCTCGTTTCGTGTCTTCGGCCATCAGTGTGTACTTACATTTACGAGTCATTAAATCATGTTTAATTTTGACTTCTCTGTGCATGCTTTTTGGTGCACCCCCTTAGCCTCCAGTGTATGACTGATAGACAACAACGGTTTGACTGAAAAATGTCAAAATTGAAAATACTGTGGAAACAAAGACACCTACATCTTGGATGCCCTTGAGGTAAGCTAAAACATATCAAAAATTAATTTCGAAGTGAACTATCCCTTTAACTTACATCTTGTTCAAATGTTTGGGAAGAAATAAATGCGTTTTATTCAGCAAGGGCATATTAAATTGATCAAAACTGACGTTAAAGAAATTTTCAATTTTACAAAGTATTTCTATTTTAATCAAACGCTGTTTTGAATGACATACTTTTATATTGGACAAGCAATGGTCCAGATGTTAAAAGCCATGCAGTTTAAATGGTTTTATCCCACAGTTATTAAAATGCGGATCGATGCCAGTAACTGAGCTGAGCTGTGCAGAGCGGACAACACTAGTTCTTTGTTTCCAGAAAGACTCACGCACTAAATTCATGGTGTGTAGAGCATACTTCACTTAAACATGGACATGTCACCACCCTTCCTTAATGAAAACCACAGGGATTGAACGGTTGCCTTTTAAGGGCACATATGGCACTATGCTACACAAATATACCTCCATCACCATTTCCAAGAGGAGGTAACGGTATTTACTTTTGGCAAGGGATTTTAAAGGGTGGGGGCTGACAACCAACTCAACTGAATAGATCTGACTAAGCAAGATATCTGCTAACATTGCACCAACACACCTGCACAACCAACACCTCTCAGCAGGACCAATCAGCCGTTACAAGGAAAAGATTAGCCTGAGTTCTAGGAATGTAATGGAATATGATCTGTTCTTTGTCGTGCCACAGGTTCAGGACCATTTTCCATCAACCCTCCCTCTGTAAGGGTTTCAGAGTCAAAATCTGCCTGTCAAGCCGGAGCTCGAGAAACCGAAGAACTTGAGGAATAGCAGCCCACTGAAACTCCCTCTCTCATTCATTCACTTCCCCCATTTAATGCTCAGCATGTGCAGAGTAGACATATTTTCCCCAGAAGTGAAATATTTAATAAGTGAAGGGCGATTGTATTTCCTGCCTCTGCCTTAGAAGCACAGATGGGTCGAGTAATACTTGGCGGTATCGTCCCATGTGCCCAATCCTGTCCAGAAGGAATTTCACATGCTAAAATCTTGTTTCAATGTCCAACCCAGTAAGATGAAGTGGCTATCAAAGTGACAACTGGCCTCGCCTGCCACTGGAGACCTTAAGTCAGGATTCGAAGTGATGACATGAGCCCTTCTCAGGACAGAATGCTCCCACTCCCTTCTTAATTAATTTAGACGTGGCCAACGTCAACAGAGCAATCCTAAATTGGACCATTTGGAAAACGAGTACTCCACCTTACACTAAGTGGAACCCTGCTCTAACTTAATGCTTGTTGGTTTATTTGACCAAATCTTCCTGCCAAGTGTTGGACAATAGCTGGATAAGGTGGAAGTGTTGGCTATTCCTTTTTATCGAGTGACTCTGCCAGTTGGCATGCAGGAATATTTGCTATCAGAAACGGGAGTGTATAGATTCCATTCAGATACTGTTTCCATGGCGGCCATGACAGAATGACTCTCAGCTGTAGTTATGGCTTATGGTTGGAGGTTGCGGGTAGTAATTTGGTGAGGTCTGGAAATCATTCACTAGGATGAGGGGTAAACGCCCTTCTATATGGCTGCTTTATCAATTCACTCAGATTTCATACACTCTGCCAATCTCGAAGACAACTGAATGCATTCAGTTCTGATAGATACCAGCCACCCGAACGCAACGAAGACCTTGCTTTCTGAACAATGAGGTTTAGTTGCAACATGCTTTGCGCACCAAGAACAATTTCTTCATATTGTTATGACAAAACTAAATGAAAAAAAAAAATTGGAAAGCATGGTATTTTGTAAAAAGTTTTTGTCAAGGAAACCTGCAGTATAACAATTTGAGTGAAATTTTGCAATGAAGTTTAAGTTTAATCCCAGAATTTAGCATTTAGTATGTTCTTCCTTTGATTTAATATCAACATGTACTCGAATCCACATTTGGAGTAAAAATTCCACATTTTCAATGTTATTTAATTAGAAATAAAAATATTTTGAAACATTATAAAGGCCTCAATTTAATACATCAATATAAATAATATTTACACTACTGTGCAAAAGTCTTAGGCACTTTAGCATTTTCACTCCGAAAAATGGTTAAGCCAGTGATTAGCTAGTTATTTATATCTTTTGCTGTAATGTGTCAATAGGAAATATCAGTTTACATTTCTAAACATTCCTTTTAATTATTCCATAATTTATATAATTATATGAACGATATTTTGAGCTATTAAATTTAAGATTGGTAAAGTAATGACAAAGGAAGTAAAAGCAAACAAAATGTTTTGCCTACTCATCAAGTGAAATCTGATCCGGTTGACAATTGACACACTCCATGAACAGGATTGACGCCCTGTTCTTTACTCAATTTTCTGGCTTTTCTTGCATGCACAGCAACCGAGGCATGCAATACACATTATATGAAGCAAACTTCCTTATTTAATGTTTCTTTTGCTCCATATACCCTTTGAATGCATCATTGTGAAGATGTTTGATAACATTCTTAAAAAGGACTCTTTTTTAGAATTAAATGCTGAACATCTTGATTATCATTCACTCAGGAATGTGCTGCCACTTGAGGACAGCTGCATGGATGAAGCAATGCTTTCTTTTGTCACAACAATTACGTCTGCAAAATAAATGGGAATTACAATTTAAGCTCATAAGACCTTTTCTGGAATACTTAAGAAAGAATCACAAAAACGGATACTAAACAAAAAAAAATGGTTTAGCAATGGAATCTTGTATATTTAACATGACATCCAATCAATGTGTAAACAAAAGTGCGCTTAAACCAAATTACAGATGGATCGTATAGTGTCTGGTGGTCTACTCAGCTGATAGCTGAGAGTTACTAAACTAATAACTTTGAAACCCAGATGACTGTTGCGGGAGGTCACCAGAAGGTTTCCCGTCAACATAATGTGGCTAAATACACAAATAAAAAGTGATTTTTTGCTGTGTCAGCTGGGGCATGCAAAGCAGCAAGAAATCACTAACCCTTTCCCCCCTACTGAAACACAGCAAAGACATGACCAAACATGACACTGTTTGGCACATTCAGTTCCCCTTTGCTCAGATTCCTCTTTTATCATGTTCCATGCTTCATTTACGCAAGGTAAAGAGGCTGATGGTTTCAAATTTTACGTATGGTGAAAACACCAGAATTTTACTAGGCCCTCGTACTATGGTAAGAATGATTAATTCCCCCCCCAAAAAAAACCTTGATAATCAGCTAAATGCATGCCGCTCTGACAGTCATGTTCCCCCGATTATCAATCTTTCTGCAAAATTTTGTTCCAACTCTAATCAAAAACATCTGAACCTGCTAATCAGAATCTTGCTTCAAAAATGACACACAATTGTGCAAGAGCATAGCTGGAATTAAATTATAGGTTTAGCACACAATGAACTCTGTTGACTGTTCAACAAATGCACCAGCAACCACTAACAATGTAGATATGTTTGCAAAACAGTCCAGTCCTGTGACGTTAGCAATTCGCATTCTCATTCTCATCCTTCACTACCATTCTTTATGCTTTTTTTTTTCTTTAACAAAGAGAGCTCGGAACTTGCTGCCAGTGTTGAACCTTATCGCTCATGGTCTTGCAGTAAAAAACCTGAAACCTGAGCATGCAATCATGTGCAAATTCCTACGTTGCATGTTCCATGCTCATGCAGGTCAAGCTAAACAGCCAAGCTCTGGTAGAGTTGTGGTTAAAAGTTTGGAAACAAGCATTAAATATAGTTAGATATTAGTTTCATTCATTGTTTAAATGGTGAATTAATTAGCAAATAAAGCCATGTTTAGCACTATCAAAGTCTTTGATGACTGCCTAAGGGCAATATTATTATGCTTCATAAAAACTTAGAATATTCAGAAACTCTGTATTACATTGACGCAAACAGTAGTAGCTAAACTGCTAAACATGTTATGTATGTTAAATGAGAAACACATATAGAACAAAAACAGTTTTATAATGTATATTAAATGTGTGGTCTTTTTTTGAGGAATATGGGTCTGTTGCTAACTGCTGCTATACAAATGCACAGCTTCAGATTCACTAGTTGACTGTTTACCTGATAGTGGCTCCCTGGGTTTGACCTCGGGCACCTCCTCAACTGGCTCTTCCTCGGGGCCCTGGGATGAGTGGTCCTGCATGGACTCCCTCTTCATCTTGCCCTTGCCCACCATCTTCAGGAAGGAGAGTCGACGACTGGTGGAGTCAGAATCAGCTTCTGAGCATAGGTCACCATTGGTCAAGCTCTCCTTGCGATCTTTACACTTCCCTGCCATTCTATAGGAAGATGAAGGTTGATATGGTTGATTAGTTAAATTTTGATTTTGCAGAGACTTTTATCCAAAGTACATGGCATCTAAGTCAAGATATACATTTTTATGTATTTGAACCATGACCACGTTGTTGCTAGAATCATGCTCTTCTACTGTTTGAGACTCAGGAAAGCTTTATGAATTATGAAATGAATTGTTGCAATAGCACAAAAACACATAGTCTTTCATAAACTAATAGTTTTTTTTAGAAAACTATGAATTCAAAGGCATGTGTCTAGAACAGTGTCTAAACCAGTAGTCTATTCTACTAGTGGCAACAAATGGAACTACAGAAATTATAATTGTTTACAAATGAGTTTCCCAAACCTCCCTTTGGCAATAAATCATCATATAAATCATTAATTAGACCTAAAATGTTTATCACACTTCATTTCTTTCTTTTGTGCAACGAGTGTCTGTACATATTTTTAGCCATCTTGGTTTTCTTTTTATTCATTCTTCCTATATGGATTTTCAAAATATCTATGTTAAAGAGTTTTAGCTACAAATTGAATTATTTAAAGCAAAAAATTATTTAAAAAACAGACAAAAAGTCAAATATAGACCATTTCACAAGATGTAAACAACACTGGTCCAGAAGCACTTCCTGTTTCAGTTTTTTAACACTATATAAAAGCTGGGATAAAATACAACCAACAGAACATTTGAAAACTGAATCAAAAAGTTAAACAAACATCTTTAAGATGTTTTCTTTACATGTGAAATAAAGAAAACAGTTACAAACTGAAACAGGAAGTGCTTCTGGACCAGTGTTGTTTACATCTTGTGAAATGGTCTATACCAGAGGTCTCAAACTCGCGGCCCGCGGGCCATTTGCGGCCCGCGGGATGATATTTTGTGGCCCCCTACTTGATATTAAAGTTTAATGTTAGTGCGGCCCGCCGTTGCGTTTGCCGCGTTTTTTTTTATTATTATTATTTTTATCCCTTATGGGCTACCATGTGTAGTCTCGTGACAGCTTACCGTAGGTTTGTTGTCAATAGTTGTCATAGACAACCACGAAGTACTGCGCCTGGAAAAAAATGAGCGCGTCGCTCGCTTCAATTATGAGCGCGCTCGGCGCTTGATGCGCGCCTATTTGAAACCTACTTGAGCGTGCAAAATATGTGAGCGTGATATGTGAACAGGCATAAGGCGAGCTACCACCACCAAATCAGGCCACAGCTGATAGCTCGCGAGCGACGTGTTGGATATCCCTGCTCTAAAACAATGAATGTGAGAATAATCATTTTGAGCTTGTAATTTGTGTTGTGTCTGAACGCGTTCAATGACGATAGTTCATAAACTCGTTCATATTTTGGGCGAACATGAACTGAACGTAACCTACTGTATTACTGCCTGATAGTGAACTCGTTCATTCAAGTGTTTGTGAACCGAGGAGCGAGGAGGCGTCGAAAGATCATTTAAAAAAGGGTTTGAGGTCGGCGAGGATGGGAAAATCTTACATGTCTGTGCAAACTCTGCCCGTCGACAAAATGATTGTTATCTGTGGTTGTATATGGGCTGTGGCAATAATAATAGCTTAATAATAAAAAAGAAGCTCGCAGCAACATATGGAAAAAAAGAACTAGTTCATTTTAAAATTTGTGAATTGAACTTTGAACTAGTTCATGTAATGAACTTGGTCCAACAGGTTGATAAGAAGGTTTGCTTTGATATGTGCAAAGTCAGTAATTTGCCTGAGACACTATACATGTGTAGAAAGAATTATTTGTATTTCAAAAGCAGTAATTGTTTTTCTAAGTATAATAAAAGGAAATGTGCCTTTTGGGGGAAAAAATTCAATATAATAGTGTTGTATAAAGAAAATAAAAAGCAAATATGACTATCATCACAACAAAGATGTTGTGTATAAGAAAAAGACAAAGAAAGTTTGTAAAATTAACTCCAACTGTCCGAAGGACAGCTCATGAAGAACCAATCATGTACAGAAAGGAATGTTCAAATTCAGAGGAACAGTTCAGAGGAAACATTAATAATAAAGATTGAGAAGATTGGATCAGTTGTGCTCCATTTTTGGAATACTTAAATACATTTTTTTTTTTGGGGGGGGGGGGGGGGGGGGATACTTGATGCGGCCCGGCCTGACCCAGACTCTATCTCCAGCGGCCCCCAGTTAATTTGAGTTTGAGACCCCTGGTCTATACAATACTGTGTACTTAATGGGTTCAATGAGGAAAAGAACTACAATCCCATGATGCATTCCGAATGACACAATCAAATTAATTAATCCAATTAAAATGTAATATAGAATTATAGTATTACAATATAATATAGTATTTGCTCCTAGAAGATCTGTGCACCGGTGTTTCTCCCGTTCTGTCTGATCTTGTCCTGCCCTGGTTGCACCGGATCGTTTTGGCATTTTTCAGTAGCGCAGTAAGCCTCCCTTTCTTAAATAATATAGTATTGCTTTTAATAAATAGATATAGTCACATATCTACACAATATATTTTTCAAATATATATTATAGTTTGAAAGCATATAGGGAGACTAAATATTACCATCCGCAATGCTTCATGGGAGTGATTCTTTGCAGAATCATGAATAATAGTTTCTCACCAGGAATTCAAAAATAACTTATTAAAAAATAAGTTAAAATAATGCAGGCTAATGGCTTAAACAATAGCATATACCACCAATGATTAACAAACTTGTAGCTCACAGTAGTTTATAAGTTAAAAAAAAATAACCCGAATGTTGCACTAAATGCAACCGGAACCACATGACATTCTTTTACGTTGATGATTGTCGCATGTGCATTCTTCTGCTGAAGATTACACATACAGTGTTCCCTGCATGATTTATTCAACGGCCCAGACTGAACTCTGCAACCAAATCTACAGATGAAAATTATCCCATGATTTACTCACCCTCAAGCCATTCTAAGTGTATATGACACAATCAGAGTTATATTAAACAATAACATTGCTCCTCCAAGCTTTATAATGGTAGTGAACAGAATTTATGATTTTGAAGTCCAAAAAAGTGCATCATGAAAGTAATCCATATGACTCCAGGGGTTAATAAAAGCCTTCTGAAGCGAAGCGATGCATTTGTGTAAGAAAAATATTCATATTTAAAACTTTATAAACTAAAATAACTAGCTTCCAACAGCTTAAAATTGTTGCCCAGCCCTATTTATTTGAACCGCAAGAGGTGTCTACATCATACATCGCTTCAGGGGATACTCTTTTGGAGTAAGTCGACTTGCGTAGACTGTCTGCTGAAAGCTAGTTATTTTAGTTTTAAACATGGATATTTTTTTCTTACAAAAACCCATCACATCGCTTCAGAAGGACTTTTTTTTAACATCCTACAGCTGTATCAATTACTTTTATTATGGATGGATGCACTTTTTAGGACTTCAAATTATCATAAAGCTTGGAAGAGCAATGCTATTATTTAAAATACCTCTGATTGTGTTTGTCAGAAAGAAGATTTGCATATATACCTTGCTTGAGGGTGAGTAAATCATTAGATAATTTTCATTTTTGGGTGAACTTAATTCTTTTCAATTCCCATCATACCGTAGCAAGCTCCCTTCTGAACTCCGTCTGCCCTTCTTCTTCATCCCCAGGGGTGAGGCTGAACCTATAGAGCCCTGTGGGGAGGGAGTTTCCCTGCCCTTGCTCCTGGCAGACATGCGCAAGTTCTTGCCCAGCTTGCCCAGGGTCTTGAGGGGGGAGACCCCCTTCATGCGCTCCAGCGTGCCTTTGATGGAGCTTCCCTTCCCTGAGCCTCCACGTCGCACCTCATTAGCCTCATTTTCGTCTTCCTCATCCTCAAACGGGTTTCTGTCCCGCGGCACACGCCCATCAAGAAGTGAGCCTCCATTGCTTCTTGGCCAGTCCTCATCTGAACCAGGCTCCTCAAATGGATTGTGGTTAAGACTCATTTTTCTGAGAATGAACTCACTACGTGTAGTCTCCAAATCCACACTAAATCTGCCTCCCTTCAGCCGAGACGGGAGGTTCTTAAGGACTGGCATGGTTGCGCTTGGAGGATATATGCTGGAAAAGAGATAAAACAGTTATCTTTCAGAATCCCCACTACCAGTATGAACTATAAGCCATTACAGATGCCTCTACAAACAGGAAATTACTGCCACACAGGCCAGTACACTGGCATTCATCCATCATGCGGTTATGAGCTTTCATTTTTTTGTGCAAAAAGTTCCTTGGTTCTTTCCCACGTACAATACAGACAAAATTAAATAGTAAAATGCACATAGAAATAGAGAGACTGGATTTTGGGATAGATTTCAATAGGTAATGTCTGATAATGTGGACACTGTGGTGACTTTAATTCATTTAAAAATACAGTAAAAATACAATTCACACATATAATGGAAGATTTATACCTCTTCTTTGATGAGCATGTTGTTATGTTCTGAATTTAAATTTGTTTTGACACTTTCTTTGGGGGATATAGTCAAAATGTAAAGGTGATACAACTGAAAAAAAGACAATTATTTCAATTATTATTTCCCTCAAACAAATAGTTTTTTCTGCCAAATCAACTACAACCCCCATGCAGGAAAAAAACCCCCATAAAAATAGGAAATGATGTCACAGAGAGGACCATTTCAAGGTGGAAGGTGACCTCGTGGTGCAACTCCCCAAATACATATTATGAATTAGTAATTTAAATTATTTGTTAAAAATACTTTATATTTGTATAATATTTATATAAATAGTAATGATTAAGTCTGACACTCACATTCAAGGTTTAAAAATATATTGTTATCACATGCATTTTTAGTTTTATTAGCAAACATTTTATTAATTCGTTCTCTCATTATGATTATAATGTCGTTATGTTATACTAATGTGCTCTTTCATTTTTTTTTTTTGTTAAATCGTGGCCCTGAAAAAGTTTTATTTGTCATTGACCGATGTACGATTGAGTCCTTTTTATTTTACTGACGTTTTTCGCAGTTTTAAACATCAACTCAGCTATACACACAGCATTAAACAACACAGATAAGACAGATCTGACAGTTTTATTTGAAAGATTACGTATTTTATGATAGCAGAATCTGAATCACACCCTTTGGTTAATCTTGAAGACAATTATTATGAGGACTTTTGATGTTGGGCCTGCCTATATCACAAGAATAATAAAAAGAAATCCTATACTCAAAGAGATGCAAAAACGACATACTGTATACACAGCCCAGAGAACGAGAACAAACTTCGAGTCTATTTCAAGACAACATGTTTGCCTCTTTCAAAGGCTTCTTGGGTAGAATAGCCCACTTGGATATTTATGGCTGATGACAAAAGGGGATAGGAACAGCGCTGAATCACATCCGGTTTGCTAATTTGTGTGTTTGTTGCGTATGTGTGTGAGCATATGAGGGGACCAACACTGCATGAATCATTAACTTTGGGTTAATGGTCGTCTACCTGGCTTCCTCTTGATAAAAACTACATTCTGCCATTTTAACAACTGTAAACAAACATGTTCCTGAGATCAAAGTCACATTCTATACAGTAGCTTGGAGACCAATTTCAGTGTGTAACAGCCAACAAGCCTTAAATTCCTAGAGAGGGTCTATTGTTTGTGGCTTCCTACCTCTTTTAAATAATTATGTCTGCATGATTTTTCCATATGGGTTACCTACCATTCAGGGCTTATTCTTTTATGATCATCCACATTGATTGGCATTTCGAAGAGATTTATTTCATGTTTGTCCATGTCATAAAGTTCAGTGGAGATCCAAAACAATATTGGAAACCATTAACTTTCATTTTATGAGCGAAAAATATTTTCTTTTGCGTTTATCAGAAAAAAGAAAGTCATACAGATTTGTAAAGAGAAAATAATGACAGAATTTGACATTTTTAACTGGGCTGTCTCTTGGTTGTTGAATCACTAGTGAGATGTAATTATTAGTCAAGGAGGACACTTACATAGCAAATGGAGTGAACGAGGAGGAGAACGTAAGTTACACTTTCCTTGAACCGTAAAGAAATTAACAAGTTAAATGAATGAGTTAATAAGACACAAAGCAACTGAAAAGTCTCACAGCTTCAGCGATTGAAATTCCATTGCTGATCATCCTCTCTCAATATTTCCACTGAAATTCCAGCTCTAATTATAAACCGTACAGTGGAGCCAATATGGACCGTCGGGTTAGATCATTGGGTGGATATAAAAAACATACTACCGCTTTCCCAGACCAACTCCTCTTCCTGTCTCATACAGGTAGGGGACAAAAGGGACAAGCCCCCTGCATTACAAACTAATGGCAGCGACATTACGTAATAAGTTCACTGGATAAAGTTAAGGAGAAATCAGACTAATGAGCTATATCTCTGTTACATCTACAGTTAATAACCAGCAGTTGTGATTGCCACATTTGAGGTATTACAGGATGGCATATTAACTTACAGCCATATTTCAAGAAGTGATGTCAGTACCATGACTCTACTACTAATTCTTTTTTACATTATAAAATGTACTAACAAACCTAATAATATAATATGGTTAGGTCACAGTTAGTCTCAGGCTCAGCCCACCGGCCATTGGTTGAAAGTTTGATGCCTATGGTACACAAAATGGGAAAAACATGCGCTGTGTCCAAAATATCCACTTAAACCACTAACTACCCCCTATGTAGGGGGTAGGGAGTAGAGCACTATATAGTGAGCTCACCAGCATAATAGAAACACCACTTTCGGACACTACTCGATTGTCTCTCGGCGCCGTTGATTACATCATCTGTCAGCTGGTGCATTTAAAAACTAAAAGTCATTTCTGGCCGTTTCTGTTATAATGCGCTATACTCACATGATTATGACTTATTTTTACGATCAGCGCAATGCATTATGGTATGTAGGGCTTGGGTTAGTGACCATCGGTTGTACACTACTTTTCAAAATGCATTCTGGGATACATTGAGTGGACTATATAGGGTATTATAATCATCACTATACATTCGGACAGCACTACAAAATGGCAAGCTCACTATATAGTCCACTATATAGTGAGTAGTGGGTGATTTCGGACACAGCAATGGAGTTTCGAAGTTGTGGTTTGATTGGTTGAATTGTACATGCTGTCTGGGAGAAACGCGTCACGTTCTTTAACAGTCTGCCGAGAAACAAAGCCGCCGTGACGCCAAACCCTCTCATGGAAGAAGAAAGCCATCGTTTTGCGTGTGACAATGAGCACTTTGAGGATTTTCAAAAGTATGTGAAGTTCAAGGCTCCATTGTTGCAGTAAACTTGCACAACATTCTTGAATTAATAATTTATTAGATGCACGCCGGTCTGTTATCGTAGAGACATCGTTGTTACATTTTTATGCCCCTAAACATGATGCGAAAAAAGCTGCTATAGAGTCCAAACCTTGTGCCATCAGTCTGAAGGTCTGGCTACGCGAGACTAGGTAACAGTTAACCAATTAACAGATTTTTACTATAGCTTATTTTCTCCTGAAAATGTATTTTTTTTTTTTATTAGCATTGATCATGTTTAGCTTTTGTACATTTTGGTTTGTGTCAAAGATGGCTTCTGAAGGATGCAAAAACAACAAAATCTTGTTACATAAGATGCATCAGCTAAGTCTCACTCGATCCGTACCATAATCCTCATCAACTGCACCTACTATTTCAAAATTATGCGGAACCACAGACCGCAGTGCCAGTGAGGTTCAAAGTCTATCATCTTGTCTCTTAGAAGGGATGGGCAATGAGTTACACTGAAACGGAGGGAGGACTGGTCTTAATATGTGACTGATAGAGGAACTGCTTCTGTTGTAGCTTTGGGTTTCAGGCTCTGGTTAAAGGAAAAGCACTGGAATGTTGGAGAGAGCCAAAGACAACCTCCATATGACTTTCCCCAAGGTGAAGTTTCAGTGCTCCTAAAATCATGGGGTAATGGAAGCTTATGATCTCAAACATGTCCAGTGAAAGTACTGATTATACTGGTTAAATGTAAGGTATATTGACCAATATTGCAGATACAGACACACACACACACACATATGTATATATATATATAGATAGATAGATAGATAGATAGATAGATAGATAGATAGATAGATAGATAGATAGATAGATAGATAGATAGATATGTTTGCATGTCACTGAAGCCACAGATTCGGCTGAGGATGGAAGTGTTGAAAAGTGTCCCTTATCATCACCACTATATTACAGATGAACTCAAAACAAGCAAAGCATTATATGGGTGCCGCAAGGTTAGATTACTTGTTTTGAGTAACCAGCACTGCTAAATCTTAGTCGACCATCTTGACATTGGAATATGCCCTGCTATAAAGGCTTGTGCTTTACCGGGACATTATCTTTTACTTGTGAGTAAATCTTTAACTGTGCACCAGGAGAACAATGTTAGATGACCTTATAAGATTGTCTGTGAATGAGGATGGATAATTTCTTTTTTTAAAACAGGAAGGATAAATATTTTACTTAATAAGCAGGAAGGGAAAAGTATTAAGTCAGCTAGTTTACTATAGGCGAACTATTTTTTTACATCGTCATGTGACGAGTTTGCAAAAAAGACGTGTAATGAGGATTAGATTTAAGGACAGAGAGGGCAGTAACTGCTGTGACACTATCGACATTGGATTCAGTTCAATTTCTCTCACAAGAGATGTAGAAAAGTTTAGTTTCACTCAAAAACTGACCTACAACCGGGTAAAAACAAAAAAAATCAATAAACAATATATTTATTGGCGTTAAGCCTGATTTCCCTTTAATTCTCCCTTTTTCAGACATATTTAACATATTAATAAAATATCCCAATATTCCATTCATTAAGCCTAACAGTTCAACAACCAAATGCATAGATTTGAAAAATAAAAACGGCAGCCTTACTGAAGCATTGCAGCGGTAAATTATTCAGTGGTGAACATGGTAACAAATGAGTGAAATGACATAAGGTCCAGTGAAGTTTAGCACTTTATAATAACAAAGGGGAAATAAAATAAAAACTTACGGAGTCCATGTCGGTCTGTCTTCATGTCAGAAACGAAATGTAAAAATATTTAAATGAAATACTGTGACATCAATTCAATTGAGGAACGTCCCACTTTATGTGTGTCAACACCACCGTTCAGAGTAAATGACACGAGCTGCTCAGTTGGGACTTTTACTTTTAGTTTGTGGGCAGGTCTAAGAACTGCCTCCCCATAAAATAAAATAAAATAAAATAAAATAAAATAAAATAAAATAAAATAAAATAAAATAAAATAAAATAAAATAAAATAAAATAAAATAAAATAAAATAAAATAAAATAAAATAAATAAAATAAAATAAAATAAAATAAAATAAAATAAAATAAAATAAAATAAAATAAAATAAAATAAAATTTAATATTATTTTAAAGATATTTTAAGAATTTTAAAAAGCTGCCTATAGGTTCTCCAAAAGGATTTCACCAGTGTGCCACTATGCAGTATATATGCTACTAGTACCTTTTTTTATTACAATCATTTAGTGTGGACACAAGGATAGTAAAAGCAGTAAATTTTGCCCTTGCGGATATTGTGTGTGTGTGTGTGTGTGTGTGTGTGTGTGTGTGTGTGTGTGTGTGTGTGTGTGTGTGTGGTTGTTTTAAAAAAGTTTTAAATAATTCGTATTCAAGTATTCAGGACATTCTTCATTTAAAAAACATAACAAAACAACGGATAAACCATAAATGGATATGTGGCTTCTTTAATGTTTTTTTATTTTTATTTTTATGGGTCACGGGCCATTAAAATTGACCAGTGACCTTAGAGGTCTTATATTTTTGCCCCAAAGGAAAGTCAGACAAATGCGTATCAATTTTGTCTGAACAATATAAATTGCTCTGGAGTGCGTCATGGGGGCAATGCTAAAAGAAAGCAAGCATGTTGAAAGAGTGAGCTTCTCCAAACCCTTGTTTTCTTAAGTATTATGAAATCTGTGTTCTTCAACAATATGATAAACAGTACAGAAAAGCTTCTTCGCTGATGCATCAACAAAGGATTGCCACGAGTGTCATGCCTCCCTTGAGCCTCAGGGGCTTTCACAGAGGTCAAAAACTTGGCATAGCTATTTAACTCTCTTTTTTCACATAGGATGAACAATCTGTGTTATAAACATACAAACAAGAACACTGGCCACTTGGGCTGAGCAAATGAGCTGCATGTGGGAAATAACAACTTGTTGTATACGGTTCAAGCATGTTAATCCCTTTTTTTCTTTTGGAGCTAGCTTATCTTCCAGACACACTTTCCCATGTCCATCTTGACCTCCCTGATAATCAATTAGGATCCATGCAATATCTTTTAGTTGAAAATGAACAAGGACAACACACCTTCTTGTTCCTGTTGATTGTCGGGACAAAAAGTGCATCAGGAAACCACAATTGGCGCCACATCTAGACGAGCACTGAATAAAGCGAGACTGTA